TCCTCCTCCTCCTCCTCCTCCTCTTTCCTGAGGCCCAGGAGGCAAAGAACCCTCCCCCCATTTTCTCCCCCCCCCACCTCTGCATGCCCCATTTTGCCTCCTGGGCCTCAGGGAAGCCTCCTGGGCGAAGCAGTAAGACGGTGAGGGGGGTCCTGGCACAGCTGATGATCAGAACAGCTGATCGTCGGGAGGGGGAAAAAAAGAAATACCTTAAGGAGTGATTGGGAGGGGAGGGGCAGGTGGTGAGGGGTGGGGCCAGCAAGGGCACAATTTGCCAGTTCTTCAAACTGCGCAGAATCACAACACTGGTTCTATAGAACCGGCCTGAACCAGGAGAATCCCACCCATTTATACAGATGTTGCTGTTATACTATGCTAAGATCTATATCTTAGAAGAGCCATGGGACACTGATATCTTTTTGTAACACAGTTTACAACTAAACTATGAAAAAAACAAAGGTGATGTATTTGGACAGACTTGAAAGACCCAAATAAAAAGAATTCCTTGTTCTAAGTACTTCATAGTACATTATTTAGGGAATCAATACACTCATATCCTTTTTGGTAATCATGTAGCTTATTTCTTGCTGGGCTCTTTTTCATTATTTTATTGTTCTATTGTCTTATTTCTGTTCTGGCCACTCTGTTTTCATTCCTTTCTTTTTGTTGTGATGTGTCTAGATAGCCTCATGGGAAGGTAGGCAGCAAATAAGATTATAAATAAATAAATAAATAAATACATTTCTCTGAATGAATGCTCCCAGGAATTTAGCAGCCATGCTTTCTTTTTCTCTGAAGGCCTGCTCTTTATGTTCTTGTATATACCAGTTACTTTGAAATGGATTGAAGCCAAGATGCTGGCAAATCAAAGCAGAATAAGCACAATTTGATGCCTTTTTAGTATGCGTACCATACCACTTGGTATTATATACTGCATTTTTTTAAATTTTTCTTTTACGCAGTCTGGTTTTAGCAAACATTATCCATTGGATTGATAAGTTTAAATTGTACCTTTATGGTGCTTCAATTATCTAAAGGGTTTAAAACTATGAACTCTAGTACACTAGAAATTTAACAATTAGCTGTTAGGATTACAACCATTCGATACCCCAAGTTTAAAGCTCAGGAATTCTGGGAGTTGAAGTCCACAAGTCTTAAACTTGCCAAGTTTGAAAACCCTTGTCCTAACAGATTGCAAGGGTAAGGAGTGCCAAATCGAGGGACTTGGTCGTTCATGGATACATCATGCAACCCTCAGTAGCAGGAACTGTTACAATCTTCAATCCTTCTTCTCCTTTTCTTCCAATTAGTTGAGTCTCTGTCACCACAAGTCAACTTCAATAGCTTCAGAGAAACTCCCAATGCAAGCCATGAGCAAACTTGCAAGACAGTGCTGCTCACCCAATATCCAGAAGACCGTGGCTCACATCGCCAGAACCACACTGAAGCAAAAAAACAAGGAACAAAAAATGCATTAAGCTACCACGTCCAGATGCTATCTACAATACATCCTCCTTTTACTTCCTATTCCTGAGATTATTCCTATTTCCCAACTCTAAACGTATTTCTGAGATAAGAAGTAAACTGTAGTATTTTGTCCTTTATTCAGCTTAGTGACTGATTACAGATGTTTGGTAACGTTTACTGTTTGTTGATCTTGCCAATTCAGGAAGATTAAGTTTTTGATATGGTTTCATACAAATTAAAGTTTTCTTGTTCTTCTCCCTTCTTCCGTTCCTTTTGGAGAATTCTTATGTTCATAATGCAGTAATGATAGTGTCCTTTTACCTCCATCTACATAATAAAGAATGATAATTTTACTAGCAGTCCTAGTAGGGAATGGAGGACAGAAAACAACAACCAAAGGTACGGTGCCTGACCTGTACTTACGTCACGTCTTAGTTACTACTATTTCCAGTCAAAGGAACAGAAGTGTACACCCTGAATTAGCTAGAGAAAACCGGATGCTACCGATGTCCAAGATCTTCTGGCCTAATATAAAAAACCAATAGAACAAGAATGCATTTGTTTCTGTAAAAATTTAATAAAACATATTTTAAAAAACAGGCTGTAAATATTGTCACTTTTGTAGCTACTTTTGAAGATTATGGATAAAGCAGATGTCTACAACTGAACAATCACAAGTGCCTCTGTAGTTCAAACAAATGTTGAATTAATGCAATAATGACACATGCATTCCTATAATTTTACTTAAAGTCTCCATCTTTATCTCTAATGAGTAAAATCTGTGACTTTATCAACCTGTCCATGTGTCAAATCCATGTATCTGCCATTCTCCAAGGGAAGAAGAAGGGGGTGGTGGTTTTTGGTAGAAGTAATCCTTTTTTGATGTGAACCTGAATATCTTAAGTTTTGTATTGAATCTGTATAATTTGCACATGATATACAACTGGGGATTGGAGCCCAGATGCCTGGAAACTTGTCACCTCTTGGAGAGATAACAAGAGGAAAAGGGGCCATAAAAAATCCAGCTCCGAAAGAAACTTCCCGGAAAACTTTTCTCAACTACATTCCCAGAAACACAAAAAAGGGTGGGGGGATTAAAAGGTTGCTTCTTTGTATTGATGAAATCCACACTGGACTAAGGGAAGGGGTTCCTGCATAAGATATTAAAAACATTCACCACCTCCTGGTTATTTTTGCATGAAGCTATCTTTCTTGTATAAGGTCCTACAAAAACTCACCATGTCATGATTATTGGTCCAAAATCATGAAGCTGCTTTCCTGTATAAGATTCTGCAAATACTCACCACCTCCTGGTTATTTTTGCAAAATCATCAAGCTTTCCTGCATAAGACTGCAAGTCTTTGCAGATGACCTGGTATTCATATTAGAAGACCCATTGGAAACAGCGCCTAAATTAATAGAAAAAAAGTAGAAGAATATGGAAAAGTAGCAGGTTTGAAAATAAATAAAGATAAAACAAAGATATTAACAAAGAATATGTTAGCAAGATGAAAGAAAGAGTTGGAAGAAGTTTTAGAAATACAGGTCACAAACAAGGTTAAGTATTTAGGGGTATAATTTACACCAAGATGTAGCACATTGAAGGAGGATAATTATCTTAAACTCAAACCGCAGATTGCGACAGATTTGACAAAATGGGGAAACTTACAATTATCATTGATTGGGAGAATATCTACAATTAAGATGAATGCATTGCCTAGAATTTTATATCTATTCCAGACAATTCCAATCTGACTAGGGAAAGAGTTTTTTGAAGACTTAAATAGAATTGTGCTGAAATATATCTGGCAGGGCAAAAAAGCAAGAATAAAACTAAATCTGTTACAAGATGCAAGAATAAGAGAAGGGTTTGCTTTGCCCAATTGGGAGTTGTATTACCAGGCGACAAATCTGATGTGGGTAAAGGAATGGATAACAGTAAGGAACAGTAGACTATTGACCTTAGAAGGGCATGACTTGCTGTTGGGAGGGCATGCCTTCCTTTGGTAGAAGGGAAGTAAAACACAGGGGTATTTTAGAAGACATTACATCCGAGAAGCATTGTTTTTGAATTGGGAGACGATAAA